TCCACAATTCTGGACAATCGTCAAGGAATCACAGGAAAAGCTGCTCTCTCCTACCACTGAACACAGGGCTTGATTAGAATAAGGAGGCTGATATTATCCCCAGAGCTCCTCCTGTAAAGCCTATAGGCAGGCTGCAATCAGCTATATGCTGCTGTCTTGTCCCTACCTGGCCACTGTTTCACATGCTCCTCCTATGACACAGTCCCACAAGCCCCACAAGATCCAAGGATCCTGCCTCCCTGTCCCAGGTTATGCTGCTTGCATAAGAGGTAGTAGCCTGGCTAAAGGGGGCAGGTGAATCTAATGCAGCCAACAAAGCATCACTCCCAACTGCTTTCTGAGGAGTGTTTGTGATGCAGTGCTTTGGGCATTGGACCGTAAGCCAGAACACAGGGGAGGGTGACTTCAGTGGGGTTACACCCCATGTTATACTCCTGGTTTCTACCTTGACTCTGCTACTGACTGTCTACTCGGACTAAAAGCTGCTTGGGACAGGGACCAAATAGCACATGGAGCCTGATCTCAGCTGAGGCCTCTTGGCACTACTCCAATACAAAGAGTTAAGAAGAAGAAGAACTGAACGTAGCATTAGAGGACACTAACTAAGGTTCTGAATTAACCATTGCATCTGTGCTGAGACTAAAACTGTCTCTCCATTCTGCTCACCTGTTATACAGCACCAGCTGCCTAGAGGGGCAAAACGAAATTCAGCAATCAGTCATAAGGATGCACCCACATCTCTGAGGCTCGGTTGCCAGATGATCAAGATGCCATTGAGAGATCAGAGAGGAATATGCAGCATAACAGTGTTGCCAACCTAGTGATTTCTGTGCTATTCCTTAGGGACTTCTGGGGGATCTTTGTGATGAAATGTCCATATGAAGGCTCCTTTATCAGTTTATTGTGGGGAATACTTGGTAAATTGTCTAGTGACATTTTTGCTGACTTGCAAAGGGCTCCTTAGTGACATCTAGTGATTTTGTGGTGAATTTGTACCCTCAGGAGCTGCTAGCACTACAGGAGTTAGATCAAACAGATTTAGGAGCAATCAGCTGTATTTCTCTCCCTTCTCTCTTTCTGCTCTTGGATGCTGTTCCTTATTAACTGCTGACCCAGAGGTTAATACAGGAATATTAACCTCTATTGGCAAAAGCACTGAAATAGCAATAGCAATAGCTAGCACTAATGAAGTGCTTTTCACCAAAGGAACGCAGAACATTTTACAAAGGTGGATAAAGCCTTACTATCCCCATTTTACAGATGGGAAAACTGAATCACACAGCCAACTGAGGTCACACAGCAAAGTCAGTAGCAGAGGTGAGAAAACTTTAGGTAGGAGATCTCAAATATACATCAAAGCACCTAGGTAGGCAGAACCCAGCCACAGAAGATTTTAACGGTCTGATCCTGAAGCCGTAGAGCCCCTTCCTGTAGAAGAAGCTCATATTTTTGCTGGATCAGGACCATAGGCAAACAGCCCCACCAGCCAGGTGCCAATGCAGTTGCTGAAAAACTACATTGGAATCTGACAGACTCTGAAGTTGTCCACACTTGTAAGAAACTATGAATTGCTGCAGGTCACAGGTAATACAATAATTACTTTATTTACCCTGACTGCAGCAGCATCCGTGCCCAAATTTGTATACCGCAATTGAAAGGACTTACCTTGTATGTTGCAATCATCAAAATAGCAATGCTCATATTTCTTTTCAGTGAAAAGGTATTTTCAGTGGAAGCAAGGAGGAACTTGGATAGCAAAAGACAGAGCCTGAATGCCCAAACTTTTTCCTAACACTACTAACCTAATGTCAATGAAGTAACAGTAGGATGGAGCTTGAATTACTGTGGGCAAGTATTATGCAAATTTTCTCTATGCATTTTTCATCTCTGGGCCTCTTAGAGAGGCCAGAAACAATGTAAATTCCCAGGCTACTGGAGGTTTGCAATGAACTACTACTACTGTGTGATCCAATTTAGGTTTTCTTGGCTAAAATATTCCTAATCCCTTGTTCTTATATAGCATTTAGGTTGAGGGGTAATTTGAAAAGCAAGTCAGTTTTGTTATACCCATTTTACAGATTGATAGACTGGGATACAGAAAGGGAAAGTGACTTAATCCAAGTCACCTGCTAGGCCAGTGGCAGGGCCAGGAATAAAACCATGTTCTCCTCAATTCTGGTCCAACATGTTTGGTATTCCCTGGGCCATACTATCTCTGATAAACCACTGCTTTGCTCAAAACCAGCTGCTTTTCACCCAATGCCATAGATTTGTACTGTGCAATACATGTTCTACAATCCACAGAAACATTAATTTGTATCTGAGTCAAACAACAACCTTCTGGCATCAGTTATTCAAGTTTTCATATGATCAAACCTAAACATATTTTGCAACTGGCAAATTCTTCATCTTAGATTTTTTTCCTAAATCTAATTGAATAAGAGTTATCAGGGGTTTTTGCAGCAGTGAGAGACAGAGGCACAAAGGAATTCAAAAACTCTCTGGTAATACTTAGAGATATATAAATTACCAGATGTTGGCTGAAATATGCCAACCAGGCATTCTTGCATTTTGCTGCCAATTCTCAGAGATGCTAATACTAGGAAGAAAGTTTTATTGAGGGTTTCTCTTTACAACTGCAGAGCCTCAGACAACATGTGTGATTGTTTCAACATTATACAAAGTTACAAAGCAAAAAAAGAAGAGATCAAATAAATTCGACAAAGAAGTGTTTACCTGTTGGAATGAACTTCATTGTGAGCTGGATCCCAGGAGCAACTTAATAAGAGTTTTGTGTTGACAGGAGTTTTCAGAAATTCATGTTCATATGGGGAATTTCACTGGTTTATATACCGGTTCACTATGTTGTAAGAAAGGAAAGAGGGGTGGGGGAAAGAACTGTCATTAAAGATTCAGGAAGTGGAGACACTGGAAACATTGAATGGGCATTATTTCTAAGAAGCTGCTGATTTATTTTTTTTTTCTTTTTGATAAGTTGAGGTCATGGTTGTGTGGCGCTGTGGGTTGATAAAAAAACCCACAGATTTGAAGATTGATTCCTTGTTTCTTAGCTTCTTTAGGCAGTGGAGGAAAAGTCTGCCTACATCCATAAATAATACCTCGACTCACCAAATTCCAAACCAAGCCACTGGTGCTGACTCATCTGCCCTTAGAAACTTTCATCTCCTGCCCTCGCCCCCACCCCCTTGCCACCCCCAGGCAGAGATTCCCTCAAGTATAGACACTTTTCATTATTTCTGGTTATGGGTAACACAGAGGTGAGACATCAGCTTTGGATATGAAAGTGTTAGAAATGACACAGAAGGAAAACAAATTTCAGTCTGGCCAGGAAAGTGGGAGGGGAGGTTCCAAGAAGAAAGTCACTTCCATTTGAGACTGCTTGCAACAGCTTAAATACAACTGCTGTCTCCTTCTCTTAAAGGAGATGAAGTGCTTATGTGTGCATCCGGACTCAGAAGGCATGAGTTTGGCTCATGTCATTAGGCTCACATGTCATTAAGAAGCTTCATGTGTTACAATGCAGCTTAGAATGGTGTCTTCTAGCAGCGGGGATTTGAACTTTTTGTGGTATCTCCATGTACTCTGTTTTCCCGGGTTCTATGCCAGCTCCCTGCAGCAGCTACCTCATTAAAAAGAAAAGCATCTTGTTTTTTCGGGTATTTTTGGCAAAAAGCAGATGCCCTTTCAAAAAAAAAAATCTTTTAGTCAAAAATCCAATTTTCTGTTGAAAATGTTTCTACGAAGAAAGTTCAGACCATTTTTTGATACTACTGACATCCACCTAGAGTAGTTTTCTCTTTAGTTCAAATGATAGTTGCTTATCCTTCTAACTCCATATATCATGAGGTTAAATCTTGCTGTTGGCCCAGGTGGGACTGGCTTTATTAGCACTGCAAGAATCACCTGAGCCATCCTTCCTAAGACCCTGCTAAGCGCAGTCCCTCTTAGCATTAAGCTGTTTCCTTGACCCATTTGAGAAGATGCATGATTTATTTTTCAGAAGCAAATCAAATGTTACTGAAAATGTCTCCTCTCCATTCTCCCTCCCCTAATTCCCCTTACCCTCTTCTCTGCTACAGCTCCCTGCATGGACACCATCTGAACACTCAGGTCAGATTCTCCACTGATGGAAATCAGCATTGCTCCAGTGACTTCAGCAGTACCACTGCCCTTGAGCACCATTGTGTTGCCAGATGTGGATATAAACAGGTTAAAGTAATTTTTAAAGCCATACTCCAACCCTTAAGCTGGTTTAACCAGTGTATGCCCTGTTTACACTGGCAAACTGAATTTGTTCAGGATCTGGATGGGAGACTTCCACAGAACTTGCATTTCGGTAAAGGGTACCCAGCCTCCTTAGTCAGTACTGAACAAATGCCATCACCAGGATGCTAGGAAGCAGCAAAGGTGTCTGAATCAAAAAAAGGGTGAGGACTTCTTCTGAGTCCCATTGTCCATCAGCGGGTGCTGATAAGGCTATGGTGGCTCATACTGAAGGTGGTAAAGTACATGACTGAGTAGTAGGTGCTGTTCTCCATCAGTAACGTGTGAAGGGTGAATGCTTCCTACTGAGTGACATAACTGAACTAATGCACCTGTATGGAAGTGCTGTGACAGAAGCAGTGCTTTTTCAGTGGGCTGTAAAAGTCAAGTCCTGACTACCTACAATCAGTAAAGATCCCACACAGCTGCCAGAGAAGGCAGGGGGCTGTTCCAGTTTATATGCTTTGCCCTGGGACACTCTGTTAGTGTTAATTCCACAGTTCTTCATTACGTCCTGTCCTAAACTGCTACATACTTGAATTGTGCACAGGGCCCAGTCTGTATTTACACTGCCTTTTGAAATGCTCCAGGGAGGTACATTTGCAGGTCTGAAATAACCCAAGGACTGACCAGTTTTCTGGGAGAAATCACGTAGGAAGATGAGGCCTTGAGTTGTCTGGGCCCATAAGGCATTCCCCGAAGCAATGAGAAATGCTAAGACATTTGGCTTTACCCCCAGCAGAACTGGTTTTGGCTTTACTTCCCATGGCCTGGTGAATTGCTCTACTGTGCAGAGTTGCTGCATGCTGCCAATCAGCAGCCACATCCCATCCCAGAATTGGCTGTGTTTCAGGGCTGAATGAATTGCATCCTGATTACCTGTGGTATATAACTCTGCAACACTTATTGCTGCGTAGGCAATTTGCTAGTGCCCTGAGGGCTCACTTCATTTTTGTAAAACATTACAGTTTTAACATAAAGGCCTGAAGGCTCACAGAATTTATATGTAATGTTATAATGTTATAATCTCACTGGGGGTATCGACATGTGCTTTACTGTGGAGTTGACTAATTAGCTCCGCAGTAAAGCATCACTGTCTACACATGCAGCGCTATGATTAGACTGGAGTAAGCTAATTAACTCTGATGTAGGTTAGTACTGCACAACGTAAGTAATATTCTACAGAGGAATTATTTACTCTGCTTCAACGCACATGTAGACAGTAACTGGGGCTGGCTGCGGCATACGGCTGTTACAGTGTGAGGGTTGCCTGCCATCTAGCTCCACACTGTAGCATCCTCGTGCCCCAGTCAGCCCCTCTGCAGCACGTTGAGCCAGAGTCTGGGCTGGTAGGCTGATCCCCTGGGTCCTCTGCCAGCCAGAGCTGTGCCACCTTGGCTCAACATGTTGCTGTCCTGGGCACATGGCTGGATTAACCCTTTAGTGGGCCCTACGCAAACAAACTCATGGGTGGGTTGAGACCCCCCCCATCCCCCTGTTGCTGCTGCCTGCGGGGAGTGGGGTTTGGAGCTGCTGCTAGGCTGCCACCACCATGGTGACGAGGCCAGCAGAGAGGAAGACGAAGGGAAGACAAGGGAGGCAGACAGGGCCATTTGTGCCACTGCCGTGGAGGGAAGGACTGGGCCCCCCCACAGCTGAGGGCCCTAGTCATGTGCCTAGTTTGCTTATGCATTAATCTGGCCCTGCCTGGGCACACATGTAAATGCTGTGTCTGAGAGCAGTCAACTCCAGTGTGAACTGTGCCAGAATTTATTCAGGCTTACTAATTGTGCATGTAGATGCACCCTCCATGTCTCAGTTCTTCCATGGTAAAACAGGGATAACAATTTTAGCCTGTCTAATTAGATTGGCAAGGGGCTGTCTCTTGCTATGCCTTTACACAGGGTTAGGTCCAATGAGTCCCCATTCTAAGGCAGAGTCTCAAACGGTAAAACCAACATAAATTATAGCAGAGCAAAATGAACCATTGCTATTGATGGGGCAGGATCAAGGCACAAACAGTGCTTTTTACAACACACTAAAAGGCAAACTTTGCTCTGAGAGATGCAGTTGAAAGTAAATCATTGGGAAGGCCAGCATTCTCACTGATACCAAATACTCAGTTTTATGAGTCCAGCTTTATTTCAAAAGTAACTACAACCCTTATGGGTTATTAGCTGGAGTCTACAGAGGGGCTGTGTGACATTTACAAAGATAAGGACTTTTAAAAAAGAATTCAGGAAGCGCAGGTCATTCGCATAATTCAGAGTATCAGTCAAGCACAGAACTCAAATCAGAGCAAGGACAATTACATTTCTAAATTGATAAATAGAAATGCCTTATGGCATATTTAGAAGCAGCGAAGCAAGACATGTGCTTAGATATATGCACAAATAAAAAGGCATCTGTGTAGTTACAACAGATAGGCTATGCATGGCTAGATTGTGGCAAGGTGAAATCATCCCCGCTGCAAGCTGGAGGAAGGCCCACAGAAATTAAAGGCTAAATCCTATTTCACTTTTCTGTATCTCAATTGAAGTTACATAGCCATGTAACTGCAACTTTTAGGGTTTCAATCTTCAGCGTAGCTTGGCTTAATCACACCCCTCCATGCCCGGAAGGCTGCACACTATCCATGTTGGTACCCAGACAGGCTAGGATTTCCTAGTCATGTCAATAATGTTGGGTAAGTCCAAGGTTTTAGTTTGATAGTGGAGGATGAGAGAACTCCCACATTTTAGTCTTGTAGTCTAGAGCATAGGACATTTGTCCAAAGAATGTGGAACCCAGATTTAGGTCCCTCGCAGCCAGGAGGGGTTTGAAGCTGTTTCCCAGTGAACTAACGTAGATGTGACCCCAGGAAAGAGAGCCCTGGGTTCTGTCCCCAGAGGAAAGGAATTATCCTACTGCTATTTGTCCATGCTGTCTAGAGAGACCATATATCCTTGACTGGCTGGGACAGTCCCAGATTTCAGAGAATAGGGACTGGAGAAAATTGAAGCAAAAGTCACAGATTGGTGGGAACCTGCCCACATGTGTGGCTCCTGAGTCAGGGGGGAGGGGGCATTGCACCAATCTGGGACTTCTGCTTCAATTTTCTCCAGGGACCCCAGCCAATGGGCTGCTCGCTGGTCCGGACCCCACTGGGCTGCAAGCAGAGTTGCTTGTGCAGTATATAAAGCGCCCCTGACTCCATTTTAAATTGTGGGGATGCTGATACACGAGATGCTGGAGGCTGCTGGAGCGCAGTAATTACCACACTCCAGCGGACTTGATTAATCAAGTCTGCTCTGACATGCTGTAATTCAGGCATGTCAGAGCAGCCTCACTGCTCGTGCATAGGTGCCCATACATGTCCACTCCCTTTCTGCTAAACTCTTAAGCTAAATAAAGTCTTGTGGCCATGAGTTCAGCAGCCAAATGATGCACTGTGTTCAAAAGTCTTTCCAAAACTGGTGAATCCCTTGCCTGTTCTAGCGTGAGAAGGGCTATGTTCTACTGAACGGGATGAACCAATAGTTCTGTTCCAGCATGGCCAGTTCTGGGTAGGGTGACCAAATGTTCAGGATTGGTCCTGGCTTTCAG